CATTTAATAAATGTTTTGTTTTGATATACAAGTTGTTTGGGTTTTTTCATCCAAAAAAGTGACATTAATTTCTTGATGACCTAATATTTAATGTTACAGCTTTATTAGATTTATCAGATTAGATTTAGCAGTGGCCCCAGTCTGTTCTTGTAACAAAACAAGTGTAGCTGAAAATGTAGTTAAGCATTTCTAAATCTATTGTTTTTTTTTTTTGTTGTTTTTTTTACTGGGAAATTAGAAACCCTTAATGATACAAAAGAAAAAGCATGAATAATTTAGTTACTAAAACTGCTATAAGGTAAGCTTGCTAAACCACAGAATTTTTTGTTACTTCATTCTTTGGAGCAGCTAGTTTTGTTTAATTGTGACTGACTTTTTAGTCTATGTATGATAAATTTATATTTCTACTAGACATCAAACGGAAACAGTTAAACAATAATGGTTACTATAGTAATCTGAACACCTTTCTGGTCTGAAACTCTTCAAGTTTTTTTAAGAACAAACAAAAACATGAGAAATTTGTTAAACTTCATCATATGTTTTTGTTTTTAGTTTTTCAAACCTGTCTGCAGTACTAATTTAATTTATTCCTACCCTATAAACAACTAACCTCTCCAGATTCTATTACTATTAGGCTGAGACAGGAACTGGTGATTATTAGGTTGACATTTGATCCAGCATAATCCAAGTTTGGTCTTTGTGATAACATCCTGCTTATTCGTTTATCCACCTGTTTCAAAGTTCACACATATAACACATTACTTCTAACAATCTGATTATTTATTTATTTATGCTTCAAAGTTCGTACAAGTACAGCTGGGTGACTTAATCAATTACCTAAGAGCAGAGATTACATCAGTATTTTGTAAACTAATCAACTAATTGAAATTATGATTAAATTGACTGTTATGAAAATAATCAATTGATCAATATGAGTTATCTGTTTAATATTTATTTTGATTATTCCAACACTCAAATAATTGAAATTATAATTACATGAACTGTCAGGAAAATAATCAACTGATTAAATTAGTTGTTTCGCTTATTATCTATTTTTGATTGTTCCAAGAAACAATTAATAGAAATTATGATTAAACTGGCTGTCATAAAAATAATTATTAAAATTAGGGGTTCTTATTATTTTACCTATCTATGTAACCAAAATATTGCCATTATGTTTGTTTGTTATTAAACATAAAGTTGTATAATTGGAGATAGATGCCTCATTTAAGCTTCTCGGTTTGCTTCTATTGCCAATTAAGTTTTTTTTCTTTTTAGTTGCGAGTTATTGGGGCGCCATCAGCAGATAATATGCACCCAAATTCCCTGATCTGATTTAGTTGACGGAAGTTGGCATGTTTGTTGTGACGGGGATTCGAACCCGTGACCCTCAGATTACAAGTCGAGCGCCCTAACCACCTGGCCATGCCGGGCCTGTCAATTAAGTTGCTAATCCTGTGTCTTTTATTGCAAAGCTACAAAAAGCTATCTGTAACTGTCATTAAATTTTGAAATGACAAGAGGGAAGGCAACTGGCTGGAAGCACCCCCTGCTAATTCTCTGGATACTTAAAAGAGTTAAATAAATTGTAAATTTAATGTTTTTTTTATATACATTGTTTTATATTTCTAAGTTATAAATGCATTCTTTAATATTGCATTACCAGATGTAGATCTTGGAGAGAAGAGTTTAGGGGGTCTGTACCCCACCCATTTTTTTAGGAACTAATTCTTTAATGTTGTATAAGCATAAGTGGATTTAATGAAGAGGCCCAGGGGCAAAATTGTCACACATTGTTTTTCAGAAATTAATAACTATATTATTTAAATATATTGTTGCGTCAGCGAGGTCACGTGACTAGAATCACGCCACGTCCTTCTCGAACCTTCGTGAATTGTCGGGAGACTACTATATTGGGAGTAGTCTTGTATATATAAGACTGTCACAAATTGACGGCAACAATGTGTGTAATTGAACTGAGTATTGTTGAGTCGAGCACGGGCACGTGAGACGTTCGTTGAGAATTATAGCATTTGTTATAGAGCGATTGTTGAAAGTAAGTGTATCGTAAAGTTGTATTCAGAAAGAATAAACCAGTTTTATTTAAGAAAGGACTTGTGTCGCTAAAGTTTTGTCGGAACGAATTTACGGAAAATTAACTAACAAACGGAGACGTAACAATATGTAAGTAGATAAAGATTTGGAAGTGGGATCCAGACCCAACCTCAATTTTTTTTTCAGAATTTAATAAAAAACAGCCAAAGATCTTTACTTTGCCATACAATATCAAAAAGAAGTATTAGATGTTAGTGTTTTTATTTGATTGATCTATTAATTACTGTAAAACCTTTTTCAGTGTTTTTGAAGTCAACACAGCTGGGGTCTACAGCAATACAGTTATGGCATCAGCCAATAACTGATTATTTGTAAGTGAATACAACAGTATCAATGTCAATTAAATGTTAGCATGGTAATTTTTCATGCTTTGGTTTTTCAGACACAGAAATATGTGTCTAGACTTTAGAAATTTGTTTCCATCAAAGTTAGTATTACTTAGGACACCTGTGGATCCTATAACACAGACTTGTTATGAAATCAATTTCTCAAAGTTTGGAAGTTAGAATACTCATGAAAAAGAAGGTTCTTTTATTTTTCATGTCCAAAATAAGCAAATATGCAAGTGCAATGACTATATAACTTAAAAAAAAAACAACTGAAAACAGACACCCAGTTTATAATAGATAAAATATGAATTTAGGTGTAAACTTTGTAATTTTTTTTCTAAATACACTTGTAACTATTAGATATTAATTGCAAAATTTGAAATGTTTGTCTTTAGCTGTTGTTACACTAATATATAAAACACATTATTAGAAATAAAGATTTATGTTTTCAAATTGCTGAATTATAACCAGACTGAGATAATCATAATTAATTTTGTAAGCTTTCTAATTTATTATATTACCAAAATTACTAGTAGTGTATAGTTATAAGTAAAATAAACAATGAAAGTAATATAAATGTATCAGTAGTGCTAGTAGAGATCTAGTTAAGCTTCCCACCCTATCCCCACTCTTACAGTTTCCTGGATCCATACCTGTTCTGAGTAAAAGTTTCTCAAAGTATGGGTCTCTAACAATGTTTATCATAATTTTAAACATGCATGAATCACATGTTTGAAAAATGTTCAACATAACTACTCCAGCTAATGAGCTTTGAAATTTAATTTTTCTATGAATATTAGAACTGAAAAATAATTTCATTTCCAACAATGAAAGAAGTATTCAACTATCTGATACATGAGGTAGGACTATAGCTGAAACTAATCATGATTTTTTATATTTTACTGATGATATCTGTAGGGTAATAAAGTTTATTAACTTTATAGCTACTCTCATTTTATTTCAAGAAGAAATTGTAGAGATACCGAAAGTTTTCAAATTGAATTATTTCTGTATTTGATTTATTGATATATGTAGGATAGTCCATGAATATTTAAGCAAAGCTGTTGCCATTCTCAGACAGAGAAGTTTGCTCCCACAAAGAAAACAGTAGTTGTAGTTTTTACTGTACACAATACAACTATGTAAGTTTGTAAATTAAAATTTAACTACTATCTTAACATTCCGTATCATAACATTTGAGGGACAACAAGATGCTGTCCCATTTATTACATCATACATCTATCTACCTATATCCAATCCTGACTCTCCAAGTACTCATCAAGCCCTCTCTAGAACTCTCCCAATCCTGCTGTGTCTACTACATCCAAATGCAATCTATTCCAAAGGCTGACTACCCTGTTTTAAAAATTTGCTTAATTTGCAGATTACTTTTATCTTGCCATATCTTAAATCTACATCCACTAGTCCTACCACTATTACCATTAAGTAGGAAAAAAGATGATGCATCAGACTTATTTATTCCTTTTATAATTTTGAACACCTCAATCAAAATACCTCTAACCTTACTTTTCTTGAGAGAAACTATACTAAGGAACTTAATTTTTCCTCACATCATAGCCTCTCCATTCTAGGAATCATCCTAGTAGCTCTCCTTTGAACCTTTTCAAACAACTGAATGTCCTTCGTAAGCTAAGGAGCCTATGACTGAGCAAAATATACTCCAAATGAGGCTTAACTAGAGATCGTACAAGGAAACAAAAACTTCCTTTGAAGTTCATTCAATATTCTTGTATATACAACACAAAATCCCATTTGCTTTCTCACTGGCAACAGCACACTGCCTGAAAGGCTCATGAAACTCACTGATCAAAACACCAAGATCTTTTTCTTTCATAAAACTATTGAGTTGACTCCCACGAAGGTGGTAATTATAGTTTGAACTGAGGTAGCCCACATGCATTACCTTGCATTTAGAATAATCAGATAATGTCTGTCATCTACTTGCTCAATAATCTAAATCTCTTTGTAAAACAACAGCATCCTCCTCACAATTCTGTTCATGGTAGACATAAATAATGCATACATATTTATAAATACACACAGAACAATATGTGTGTCTGTTATACATACATTACACTTTGATATAATCAAAGACCAAATTATTATGAACACCTAGTACCAAGACTACCTGCCTTATTTTCTTAATACTGAAGTGTAAACTGAGTAAAAAAAATCTGAGCTGATCCCATATCCCCATTACATGAAGCTTTCAACCAGAACAACTTTTCTTCCACAATGTAGGGATGATATGCATAACTTTCTGCCCTAAAGCTCAGTAACAAGAATTATCTAAAATAATGTCTTCACAAATTTTTGTATTTCTTTTTATATCTTCTTATGTTGTGATATGCAACATAACAGTTCCTCTCAGAAATAAAAATTGTGCATAGGAGATACCAGTTTAACATATATGCTCTTTGTTGCCAATTATAACATTAACAGAGGGTTAATTGCACTTTCTGTGAATGATATGTATATATTTCTGCTGTGGCATCAACTTATAGGATGAGCTGTTTGATAATTTCCGGTAAAAATTCTTTTTGAGTGAGTTCAGCGATACAAATCCCTTCTTGATTAAAACTAGTTTATTCTTTCTCGTTACAAACTTTGTAATACACTTAATTTTCACAGTCACTTTAAACTTAACAACTTTTATAAACACATGCTATAATTCACAGTGATTCACACACTTTACTTACGGTGCCTACTGCTCGCTTGACTCGATTATCTCAATCAATTCTCTTCAATCTATCTCCGGCTTACATACTAAAAAAGAGGGCATCTAGCAAATGCTAGGGCAATCGTGAGGTTGCCCGTTAAATCACGATCCTTCTAAAAACTCCAGCACACATGCTCCCAGCATCGCGTGACTTCTGCTGTCCTAATTATATCATATGTTAATGTGTGTATATATATATATATACATATATTTGTCTCATGGCAAATTCATTAGTGAATCTTACAGTGTAATACTACCACAGCTAAATTTATGGCTGGAAATACATTATAAAATTTATTCAAACAGTGAAGCTGTTAAATGATGTACAGTAAAAAGCACAAAATTTCAAAGAAAGAAACCTTCAATGTTCCTTGTGGAAGTGAAAATTTACACAACTGAGTATTTAGCTAGTAAAGGCTCTTAAACCACACAGTAAGCCAATCCATAGCAAGCGCTCATTCTCAAAGTGAAGACTATGGTTATGAAAGTGAACCCTCCAACCCCAAACTTCACTGTGATGAAGTTAAGCATATCTCTTAGTACCAT